TACTTCCTTGGGAACACTTATAAACTTTCCATAATTAATTTTTTTTCCCATATTTCTCTTCACTTATAATTTATAAATCATTAATAATTGAAATGTTCCCATCCTTTCCTAATTTAGTTCTCTCATGCACTTTATTTCATTTGTTTATTAACAAGCATTCCACTAGATTACAATAAATATTTTATCCATCACTTTAAGCATATTTTCAAAGATTATTTGTATTTGTAATATAACAATACTATCTTATGTACCTTTGCAGAATCCCTTTTACAATTAAGTTTTCACCCATTATCTCTAAACAGGCTTATACTTTCAATTCTTATACCTTTGCCCTGTTTCTCTATATCTTGTTTCTGTCCTTTATAACTTCTTTTCCTTTCCTTCTTCCCTCTCTTCTTCTCCCTCCCCTTTTTACCCCCTTGTCTCTCTACTTCTAATTCTCTCTTCTGTAATCCCCTCTTCTGTTGCTTTCTAATATTATACTTATTTTTTAAACTATTCTTCTTTTTTTGGTTGTTTTTTCAAATTTTAAACTTTTCATTCTCTTCATTTCACTCCCCCACATAAAATTACTTGATCATTAAAGCTGGCTTCTTCTTTGTCCCAATCTTCTTGTTCTGCAAGCGTTTCTTGTTGTTTCTCATAGTTCCAGATCTCCATTTCTAAGAGTTGAAATACGAAGCCAAAAGGACCTCTCCCTTCTTGTGCATCTTCTTTGTACTTTTTAAGTTCCATTTTCAGTTCTTCTAAAAGTGGTGCCATTTTAAACACTTTTAAACAACCATTTAGTCATTTAAATGCAGTAACCAAAAATCCAGAGATCACCAAGTAATCCAAATAATCCCAAGCTGTTTCTTCTTGCTTCTTTTTTCAACTTTCTCTTCCTGGGGTTCTACTATTTTGTTGCCAAGTTTCAGTTAAAATGTATCTTTTAGGAATCTTGTTGAGGTTTTAGTTCCAGGCAGTCTCCTCCATTTTTCCAGATCCTGCCCTTTTATTCTTTTTCTCTCTTTTCCTGCTTTTCAAAGCTTTTAAGTATCCAGAAATCTTTATTATCCTTTGACATTTTATTTTCAGCTTAAATGCCTGTTGATGTCAAAGTGGATTTTTTTTCAATTTCTTGCTTAAGTCTCTTAGCTATCAGTATATGGAAGGGAAGAGAAAAAACCAAAACCAAATCCTTTCCCCTCCCTCTCTCCTTCACTACTTCAAAATCTTCTTTGGGAACAATGTTTTTTTTTTAATAGTTTAAATTCCAGGGTACTTTGCGTTGTTGCTTTTGCAGTTTAACCCGGTCAACAAAGACTTTCTCTTCTTATTTTCCTCCTGCACATTCTTTTCCGGTCAAGCTCTTCTTTGAGGTGGTCATTTCTGACCACCGCTGCAACCGCCTTTGGGAAAGGGAGTGATGGCCAGCTGAGGAGGAGAGATGCAGCTCTCCTCAACCCTGCTGGCAGTCTCCCCACTCTTCACCACCTCTATGGGGTGGCTTAGCCCCGAAGCCAGTTGGCTCAGGGCGCTCCGCCGGCAAGCACGGATCGAAACCGCGCATGATCGCGGTTTCGGTCTGTCAGCAAAGAAACTCAAACCAGAAGTCCAACCAAATTGATATGTTCTAACTAGTTATACTACATCACTATCAATCATTTCCTCACTTTTCACCGTGTACCTGATAACGTAAGGATCTGAAGGCTTACAACGATTATCTGTCATGTGAAATATTTAGGTGTTATTTGTATATTTCTAACATATTTCTAACACAGAAGTATTTCCAAATAGATATAAAGATCAATTTTGTCAGGGATTATACTATAGAAAATTGCAGGCTGCATAATATAAATCTGGAATCAATTTTACCAATTTTATTCAGCCTACAACAGGGATGTCAAACTTGCATCGCTACAGCAGCATCACGGGACGTATCAGGACTTTTTCCCCCTTCACTAAACCGGGCGGGGCCAGCACGTGATGCATCCAGCCCACAGGCCACAAATTTGACATCCCTGGCCTACAATATAGCTTTATGTACAGATGGTCCTCATATTATGATCCCTCACTCACTCAGCGACTATTCAAATTTGTGACAATATTGAATAAGTAGTACTCTTAATCAGTTCTTGGAGTTCTAGCTGCTGCAATGTCCCTGCAGTGATATGACAGCAATCCAGGCACTCAGCATTCAGTTTGTGATTACACTGCAGTCTCACATGATCACCTTTGCAAACTTCCCACTGGTAAAGTCAATGGGGAAGCCAGCAGCAGATGCAAATGACAACCATATGACGTTCTTGCTTAACAAATGGCAGTGATTTGTTTAATGATGACAACCAACGGTGTGGGAATACTAAGGTAATGTTGTCATGTTAGTTATGCTTTAAGTAGCATCACTTAGCTAAGGCAATTGGTTCCAATTTTTAACAGAGGACTACCTATATTGGTTGACCTAGTCTCAGTTTTTTTGTGGTAAATTTTATTTGTATTTCATTTTCTTCCATGTACAACTGTTCTAATAATATGTAATACATCAACAAAATTATTTCAAACATGTGTGAACTGCTTCGGGAACAGCAACCTTAAACAGCAGAAGCTACTGATAAACATTAAATTTTATTCAACATTTGTATTCTTCTCCCATCCCACTGATTTCATTCTCAAGAGATTTCATGATTAGACAGAATAAAACATTGCCTCTAAATTAAAACGAAATGCTATTGGTTGCTATCCCAAATATTGTTAGCAAACTAACTAAAAGAGCACTCTAAAAATGGTAATTTCAACAAATGTTGCTACAGACACATGATCTACGCATAACTACAGTATTGTTAGGAGATCTACAGTATGTGACAACAGTGAAATGTATTCTTGACTTAAAATTAAATGGAAAACAAAATGGCACACAAAGGGAAATAATTAAAAGTTTTGCTTCCTGTCTTCAAAACAAGAGCTGCTATGAAGAGGACATATAGTTACCTGCATCCATATCTGCAAAGAATGGAACAGCCAGTAAGGAAAAAAAGGAACCAGAAATTCAGTGTCTCAGGTGGATTTAAAGGTTCATAAGAGAACAAATACAAATAATCAAGATGTTAATTTTAATTATTGTCACCTGAAATAAATGTTATTATGGTTCTTACTCCAACCTATATTCGTTAACTGAAAAAAATTCAATTATACATCTGTATATCTAAAAGTTTAGAATCAGAAGCCTAACTGGAAATCCTAATGTAACTAAGAGAAGGGGCTACATGCAAATATATTTTTGAATGTTTCATAATGTCAAATATTAGGGAATATATATAACATTATAGTGCTTATATTTTGCAATATAATTATAAATGGTACTGATAAAATGACTAGAGGAAAATTCTGCATCAAAGAATTTACTGCTCACATGACTACAAATACATTTGCAAGTAAAATTAGACATGGGGTTTTGGCTGGAAGAATTTATAGGTATATAGAGAGAGAGAGGTAGGCAAAAGTAATGTCTGAAGACATCAATGGATTTCTAGATATCTCTTATGGAACTTGCCAGATTCACTAATTCATCTGACTTTTTCTTAAAATTATTTCTATTAATGACTAATAAACAAATAAATATTGAAAAAAATAGTATCATATAGCAAAAACCTCAACCATCACTTCTATTTAAGGGAAAACTCCAAGCCCCATTTAAGCCGTCTTTTAGGCATTTTGGTGGCTGAAACTCAGTGCTTTATTTCTAAGTGTGCCTTCTATCCTGCAAACTGGACCTACCTACCATTTTATGGATAATCAAGCCCCACTCTCCAAAAACAGACTATTAGAGAGAAGCTCTCTGAGATGCTTTCAAAATTCTAAATGTTTTCACACTTCAAATCTGACCTTATATATCAAAATGCATTATATGAAACAAAGTGTATTATTAGTCTGATCTCTTTAAGAATACAAACAGATAATCATGGGAAATGCATGTTCAGTTTTTGTGGACGTATACAGGTAGCTCGGGACTTACAACCATAACTGAAACAAAATTTCTGTTGCTAAGTGAGATAAGTGAGTTTTGCCCCATCTTACAACTTTTTGCCAGAGTTATTAAATGAATTACTGCAGTTAAGTTAATAACACTGTCGTTAAGTGAATGTGGCTTCCCCATTGACTTTGTTTGCCAGAAGGTAGCAAAGGGTAGCAAAAAAATATGACCCTGGGACACTGCAACCATCATAACTGTGAGTCAGCTGCCAAGTGTCTGAATTTTGATCACGTGACCATGCAAATGGTCCTAAGTGTGAAAAACAGTCACTCTTCTCAATGCTGCTGTAAATTCAAATGGTCATTAAAGAAACTGTTGTAAGTCAAGGACTATCTGTATTTTGTATGGTAATATTTCATACAGGCAACCTCAATTTACGACCACAATTAAGCCCAAAATTTATGTTGCTAAGCAAAACAGTTGTTTTAGCCCATTTTATGACCCTCCTTGCCACAATAGGGATGCTACAACGGTCATAAGTGTAGGCTATAAAATAGGCTATATATCACTTTTTGAGGTGCACTTGGAATGGTCATTAAATGAATGGTTGTTACTAGAGGACTACCGATTTTTGGCTATTGTTAACACCCACTGTAAATGTTAAAACAAGGTGAACAAACCAAAATCAACAGGTTAAATACAGTCTCCTAACGATTAAAATTGCACTGCTCAGATTTAGCACCAAACTCGGGAAAAACAGAAGCATTATTTCATTCTTTGGGGGAAGGAGAGACTAAATAAAATAAAAACTATTAAACTAATTTAGCAACTAGTATTGAATAAAATTTAATAAAACAGTGTGTAGCATGGGTTTGAAACCTCTAAATGTCTTGAACCATTCCTACCAAAGGGAATTCCTCAGAAGGGAATTCCTCAGAAGGGAATTAAAATCTTGATTCTGTTCATCTACATGAACTTGTTTTGTCTGGAAGCTTTGTCCATCCCTGGTTTAAGAACAGCATGCTTGTAAAGCTATCAGTCATTTTACCTTCTGGTGATTCCTCCTGGACATAGGTCCCAGTCAGATAACGATGTACAAGAGCAGATTTACCACTAGCTAAATTCCCCACAATTCCCTGCAGAGAAAAAATATGAGTTAGTTTTTATTCTTGAATGAATTTGCAAACAGAAGTAAATAGAAACTATCCACTGTGACATAACAATATTAAACTCCTAGATATTTATATCAATTTATGCCCAAAAGGTAAAAATAAAGAGCATCAGTTATAATCAAGTACAAATATCAAGTACTATACCAAGTACTTGTTGTATACCAAGATGTAGTCAGCTACAGACACTATCTAAATGCCTTTAGAATAGTGGTGTCTTTTCAAATATCCATATACAGATACTAGCTCCAAGAAAGTCCTCCACAGTTTAGTTTCCCTTCTCTAAATTTCAAGGCTACCACAACAGTCAGAATCTAAGACAACTTACAAATGCAAAAGCTCCCCCTAAGATAGAAGTGGGCAAATATTTGCAGCTGGAGGTCATATTTCAGTTTTTGAGAAAAACAAGCACCACACTGCAGTAAGGAAACTAGTAGAACAATGTGTACATGCATGTAAACAAGGCTAGGTTCTTCTATATATTCCTAAATTTAGGAGAAGAATTTGTTGGGGCAGAGTTCTTTGGATTTTAAACGTATTATAACAATTTTAGGGCTGAATAAAATCTGAATACTGAATTCACAGAGGAATAAATCATATTTTATTGGCTCCAGAAAGATTATAAACATTTATGTTATTTATTAATAGGAAGAGATTATGAAGACTAGAATTGAATGAGATACACGTTCTTAGATGCTATCTTGTATTCCTGTTCCTTTTTTGTCTTGCAAAATATTTAAAATGAAAAAAATAATTTTTAATTTTTCTTGAAATTCTATCCTTGCCTTTGAAATATCCATTCTAGCGTGTTCAGCAAATATTCCAGTCTAGTGTGACCTACCTCTGCTGAAGAACGATAATGAAGAATAACGATTTACCTAAAAGCTTACATTAAACAAAATTCATTCTACACTTAAATATATTTTGTATGAAACTACCACTATTCATTTCTATTTTTGTATGTTAATAATACTTATGTCTGAAATATTTTATTTATTCAAGTATAGCCCGAATCAACCCTCAAATTAATGAGTTCTCAAATCTATGGACACTTAATATATTTCATCCAACATTATTTGGCTTAATAGCATTCTTAAAGTGCTCTTCCATATAATAAATCCCCATTGACAACTAAGCTTTAATATTTCACATGGCCTATTGTTAAATTAAGCAAAATGTTCAAAAATAAAAACACTTTTTTGATAGAAAAATAAGGATATGCAGGGTAAACATTATCTGGATCAGGTTATCAAGCTAATCCTCCATTTTGGAAACTATTAGGAACTTATTTAAAATGGGAGGCTTACATCAACCTTTTTCTTCCCTCAAGCCAATCCAAATATTATTTGAAAGATGAACCACTCAGAATTAAGGATTGATCTAGAATTTGAAATTCTGATATGCACAATAATCTGAAAAGAACTCACAAAACCAGAAAACACACACACACACACACAATACTTCCAAATTTCAGTATTCTGTCAACATCATGAGGTAGATCTCCTCTACATTAGGCCTGAAATCTGCAAACAGCAAATAATAAGAGCACATAGCTAATAAATATTCTTTAAGACAAAATAAATATTTCCATAAGTATATTTGATTTAAAGGAAAATTTTTATTGCACATCTAAGGACATGGAATAGCTCAGCAAGTTTTCTCACAGCTCTCTCTCTATAAAAATGTTGAATAATATTTAAAGCCATTAAATAAATATTTAAAGCCATTAAATAAAATGTAAATGAAAAAATAAGTACACTCATTCAGAAATTACTTACCACTTTTAGTTCTGGCACTGATCGACTTAGTGTCCATTCCTGGCTATTTACAAAAGCATCTGTAAAATTGAACATTATATATTTTTATAAAATATTTTAACTGTTACTATCATTACTGTAACTATCTTAGTCTATGGATTGGAATGAAAAAAATGAGACGAGTTTTGTCGCCATGAAGAAGATTTCCTCACTTTTGCTTCAGCTCTCTGCCAAAATCTTTTTCTATTCTTGAGTCTATGAGATGAAGTATGAAACAGCTACAATGGTTAGAAGTACAGAATTTATAAGAGCAGCATATACAATTGAGAAGTTACTTATGCTCAAAAAAGACATATTTGATTCCAACTCTCTCTAAATTTCATGTAGATAAAGTATCCTTCCTATTTTGTGCTTCAACTTCACTATTAACAAAACAATTTGGAAACAGGTGATACTATAGATTATAAGTTTGTGCGTCTGTATAATATACAAACATATACAGTATCTGGCTTCACAGGACAATTTGCATTGAAATCCCCCTCTCAGGTGCTAAGAATTGCTGGGAAGTAGAAACCAGAAGTTTTCTGAAATATGCCAAGCTAGGTAACATATCTGCAGAATCATTAGCCTTCCAAGCACCTCAAATGCACAGAAACCAATGCAGATTATGCAGTGATCCATTTATTTTTATTTTATTTGTCAAACATGTACAAGATAACAAGTAAAGGTATGAACATAAACATGCACAAAGGAAGTAAATACAGATAAATGGGGACAGTGAGACAGGGATGGAAGGCATGCTGGTGCACTTATGCACACCCCCTTTAAGAACCTCTTTAAGAATGGGGTGAGGTCCACAGAAGACAGTTTGAGGTTGAACTGTGAGGGTTTGAGGCTGTAACAATGGGATCAGGTAGAGCATTCCAGGCGTTGACCACTCTGAAGTCGTATTTTCTGCAATCGAGTTTGAAGAGGTTTACCTTGAGTTTGTATCCATTGTTTGCCCGTGTATTATTGTGGTTGAAGCTGAAGAAGTCGTTGGCAGGCAAGACATTGTAGCTGTGCTCCACATCACACTGTGCGGGACAATTTTGTGCTATGCTTAGATCAGACCGCAGGTTGCACAGTTGCAGATTGTCCAAGCTCAAAATTTCAAGCCTGGAGGCATAGGGAATTCTATTGTGAATAGAGGAGTGCAGTAGAACTGCTATAATGAGTCACTGGCACTGAAACTAATAGAAAAGATAATTGCTAATAAAGTTTGAAATAAATCAGTGCTCATGCCTCTGACCAATTAATGTTGACAAGACTATTTTTATTATATTAATAAAATATAATTACATTAGATTCTAAATAAACATGTACGATTGTTTTATGGGCCTGTTGATGACTGATTTGTCTGAGTGCCAGGCTACCAGGAACTCTCTAGAAGTTTTTAGACTTGGCTTGGTCTATGATGCTCAGGCATGTCTCTGTTCAAAATCCAAGAAAGAAAACCCTCGACTCCATTGAGGTAGAGAAGAGGTACTTTGAGCTTGAAATGAAAGGAAAGCAAGATCTATCCAAAAGGTGTGACAGTTACATATTGAAAGTTTCCCCAAATCCCTCCCCCCAGGGACCAAGCCTGAAAGTCCAATCCATGTCCGGCATAGTGTCATGTGCAGCACATCTTCAGGTTCTTTCATCCATTTGGAGTTCTAGGATGGTTGGCCTTGACTGGGTGGAAACAACTCCACTCAGCAGCGCTGTAATTCTTGAGAGCAGACCTCCCTTTTAGTTCACATGGGCCTTCATCATACCAGCTCACTTCCCTAACCCCAATACCACCACCCCCATTACTATGGCAGCTGATAGCAACCATGCTGGATATCCAGCTGACACACAGTTACCCAGTTGAAAATTATGATTAACTCTGTCTACTTGTTGTGAAATTAAGGAGCTGTCACATTAACTCTTCCGACTGCTAGTTGGTATTCATGGATGCACTCCACTAGTCTTCCTTTCTCCTACATAGTGGCTGTTGTAGCCCTGACACTGTACACTGTAGATAGTCTGTTTTCCTTCTGAGGCTGCTAGATCTATTGGATAACTTATGATGTTTTCGGGGTATTAGTTAGTTTGTGTGCTACATTGATGCCACGTCACCACAGAAGTATGTACACACCGTTTGCCATATTTACTGTAAACGTTAATCTAGTTTCAAGTTGCTTCAAACCTGGTCATCCAGCTTGTCCACCTCAGATCAGAGCCGCTTTGACAGGGACCCAAACAAATTGACCTTCTTGAACCAGGTATGGGCTCACATCGATGACTATGGCCCCGGCTATTCACCAACCAGGCTATGGTGCGAGTGGTAACTGCCTGCCTTGATGGGGAAGCGGTGAGGAGTGTGGCTGATAGGAGGAGCCCCTGCCACACTCCTCACCGTACTTGTCAGGCTAGAGATGGGCAGATACTGGGAATTCATCTGCTTCACAGTGGTGCCAAAAATGACGGAAGCGGTGATTCTAGGGCTGGTGTGGCTAGACAAATGTGGCCCGACCATCTGGTGGGAGGGGGGCAGCAGAAAACAGACTGGGACTAGGTTCCCTTCCTCCTCTGGACACAGCCACAGGGAAAACCGACCAATGGCTGAATGTCATTAAGCAAGATGAAAAAACCAAAGCTATGTCGGAGCAAACCCCAGGGACACCCCATATCCCCAAAGAATACCAGGATCTATCAGGAGCCTTCAGCAAAGAAGAATGCAACATCTTATGTCATACCACCACCCCAAAGACTGTGCCATTGAATTTGTGCCCAAAGAGAAACTCCCCAAGCCAAAACAGTACTACATAACCTCAAAAGAAATGAAAGAAATGAAAGTACATTTGTGATGACCCAGAGCATGATACAAAGATCACAGAAACAGCTGGCAGTTCAAACTGCCCCTTTATTGTTCTAAAGTTCCCCAAATGCTCCCACGTTTCTGGAAAGTCTCAAGCAGAATGATAACAGAACCCCACACAAACCTCAAGCAGCTTCTGGTTTTAATTAGTCCAGCCCAGCGCTGTTTGCACCAAAGCTGCTCGGCAATAAATCCAAAGGTATTTGGCAAATCAAGGAGTTCAAGGAACAAAAGACCCAGGTAATTAGTCTAGAACTCCCACCGAAATGCAAGGACTCTTGGCTAGTTCAAACATCGATACAATACTTCAGAAATTCAGTGTTTGTTCCTAACAAATGCCCCTCCCCACAGCATCTCCTTAAGTCTCACTTGCCCAATGTGCTTTGTGAAGATGGGCAGGGCACTCTCCTCATATCTAGATTGCTCCATCTGCGCTGATCATGCCTCTCCACTTGCCGAGCCCTTGCATCAGGAGGGGGTGGTCCTAGCTCCTCACCTGAGCTCTGTCCCTCATGTTCCTCCTGCCTCTGTTCCTCCCTGCCTGTAAGCCTTACTACCTCAGAAAAACCTTGCCTGAACTGACTCTGCCCTTCCCCAGTTTCTTCCAAGGCCAACGGAGCTGCTCTCTCCATATCTGGCATTTCTTGTTCCAGGTGATCTTCCCCCACAGATTCAGATTCCAACAGGGACATGGCAACATTGACACGGACCTAGCAAGGGGATCCATATAGCCCACAAAATCAAGGATAGCCGCTCCGGTCTGATTCAAAGAGAAAAAGGATGGGTTGATGAGATTATGCGTTGATTTTAGGAGAATTAATGCCATGTGCATGGAAAATATGTTCCTCCTCATGATGGACCTGTTAGCCCACCTAGCAAAAGGAAAGGTATTTGGCAAGCTAGACCTGTGAGAGGCATGTTTCTGAGTGTGGATCAGGGAAGGGGATGCGTTCAATTTCCCCCTAGGAAGCTTTCAATTCAAAGTAATGCCATTCAGCCTCCAAGAAAGCCTTGAGGTGTTTATGCAACTAATTAATGAGGTGTTGCATGAGCACCTCTACAAGGGAATCCTTGTATATTTGGGTGACACTCTCATCTTCACTGAGACCCTAGAAGAGCACATTAAACTAGTACATCAGGTGCTAAAAAAGCTGTTGGCGGCCAAACTATAAGCCAAGCTCTCAAAAATGAATTTCCCAAGTCCTGCCTAGATTACCTGGGCTATCGGGTATCTAGCGAAGGAGCGGAAATGGACCCTGGCAAAGTCAAAGGCGTTTTAGACTGGCAAGCCCCTCGTACCCGCAAACAGCTTCAAAGCTTCTTAGGATTTATTAACTTTACAGCAGTTCATCCCTTCATTCACTGAGATAGCCCTCCCCATCGCTGAACTGTTAAAAAGGGGAGGGGTCAAAACATGACTGAGTCAACCACTAAACTGGACCTTAGAGTGTCAAAAAGCTTTTGAAATACTCAAGACTGTCCCCAGCAGAGGAAGGCGAGACCAGGGAGAGAGTCAAACCTGCCCTCCAGAGGAGCCTAGCAATCACTCAGGACATATGGTGGTCCCCTGGGTGGCTGTCCAGAGCTTTAGGCAGTGAAGGGCAATCACCCAGCCCAACCCTAGAGCTCCAAGGGCACTGGGACCCCACAGCCCAACCCAGCCCTGCTTCGAGGAGGTGCCCAGCTGCACTTACATCCTCCAGACTGCTGCTGCTGTGCTCACTCTCTTTGGCCAGGTTGCTCATGGTGTGTGTGGGAGGGCAAAGTGTGTGGGTCAGAGGGAGACCCACTCCACACAAGGAGACCCAGCTTTGTAACCAAAGCATCTTCAGCGATAGGATGGGTGACCACCAGGAGAGGGCAGCAGAGCTCCTGGTGGCCAAGTGCTAAGGCAAGACTTCCTCAGCCCCTCCCTCCCTCTCATTATAATATTTCTTTCTTTCCTTCCTTCCTTTCCTCCCTTTTCTTCTTTTTCCTTCCCTCTTCATTCTTTCTTTCTTCTTCCTTCCTCTTTTTCTTCCTTGTTCTCTTACCATCTTTGCTTCTTTTTATCTTTTCTCTCTCTCCTTTCCTGTTTCTTTTTGGATGCTCAAATGCAAAAGGGGAAACATTTCTCGATGCCTCCTTGCCTTGTGATCAAATGCCACTTTTGTTGTAGTTTATTTTGCTAGCACTCATCAGAGAAAACAGGGC